GATGGGGTGCTGTGTTGGCTGGCCCACAAGGTGCCTGTCAGGCCAGAGGGAGAAAGAGGAACTCTCTGGGCCCCTGGGGGTCGCAAACTCCTGAGCCTCTCCTTTTTTTTTTTAACCTCCTGATTGCTGGGACAGAGAGTCACGGTGGGAAAGACAGAGGACAGGGTTGTGGCCGTCCTGAGACTGACATTCACATCCTTCCTCTCCCTTTGTTCCAGGCTGACATTTGTAGCTCCAAGAGCATTTTCTCACGCCGGTCTTTCCTTGCAAAGCCAGCCCTGGCCTGTTTAATAACAACCTTCTTTTCAAGAGAAGTCAGCTGAGCTTACAGCCTTGGGTGGGACTATTCTAAGAAAGAAAGCAGTCTGGCCTGGCCAGTTATTTCTGCCGCCTGTGCTGGGGAGCTCTATGATCTCTTCAGTTGCAACTCAAAGGATTTCCCAACGAAGATGTAGCGCACAGCAGGTCTGCAGGAGGCAGGTGACCCCACCTCAGGCGGGCCTCCTCCCTAGCCTGCAAACTCAAAACCTGCCGGCCTTGCAGGAGCGCTGTTCACGGGCCACACGAAGCACTAGCTGCAAGTTGGGGGGAATGATGAACAACACCTGGCTGTTGCTAAGTCACCGTAGCACCCTGGGGGAGGGAGGCACACGGATACCTGCGGCTTACTTAGAGGAAATCTGCTGTTTGCTTCAAGAGAGGGCAAGACTAACAAGTCCACCCTGTCTCTCCTCACCCACAGATCGAGGTGGCTGCGCCTGGCCAGGCGGACTCTCACCTGGTCCCCAGTCTCTGCGGGCCCTACAAGCCCCGGGTCCTGGGGTGGGTCAGCCTCGGTGGATGAGAGCCAGAAGAACAACTCCAGTTCTGTGCCCCTGCCGTGGGCTCTAGCGTGAGCAATGCAGGGCAGAGCACAAGGTATGTGACGTTAACAAGCGCAACTGTCTTACAGCCTGGCAGCATCCCGAGGAGTTTCTGCTACAATCTCCAAGAGATAAAGGAGCACAAAATGTAGCAGCCTCAACAAGTTCTGTGGCAGCAGAGACCCCCGAGGGTCCTTTCCTCAGTAACATTGCCTCCGCACCCGCTGCCAGATCAGCCACTCTCCGAAATATAGAAACACGCTAAGCCTGACCCTTCTCACCCCCTCCCCTGGGGCTGTAAAGAGAGAAGAGAAAGCCACTGAGCATCTTGCTGCTCACCTGTAATCGCAGCACTCTGGAAGGCTGAGGCAGGAGCATTGCAAGTTTGAGCCCAGCCTGGGCAACTAAGGGACTTAATGAGACCTTCTCTCAGAATAAAAAATAATAAAAGGTAGGAGGACGTAACTCAGTGCGAAGACCTTGGGTTCAGTCCCCAGGATTGAAGAAAGTATTTTAGCAAAGAGCAATAAACGTTAGCGAGGTGACACAGATGCACACCAGTGACTCTCCGGGGTTTCTAGGCCTTCGGGCTTGGACCGGAGCTGCATCGCTGTTCTGAATTGCAGTGTGGTTAGCCTGGGTAGTGACTGGTTTCTGCAGCTCTGCTGTCTACAGAGAGACAGTGGGGACTGCACAACTCAGGACTGTTCAGCCTTAGATCATGAAGCCAATCTAATAAATCCCCTCTACTAAATAAATATATATGTGTACCCCTAGAAAATGTACAGGAAGAGATGATTAATTTTACTTATTTTTGTGTTTGCCAAAAAAACAAGATCATTTTCAGTCTCAGGCATTTAGCGTAAAAATTCTCCTTGCATTTTCTTATTTCACCTTTGTCTTATGAAGAACTTGCTTTGTGGGAGGAAAGAAAAGGAGGAGAAAGAGGAGAGAGAGGAAAGGAAGGAAGGAAGGAAGAGAGAGAGGGAGAAAGAAAGAGGAAGAAAGAAAGAAAGAAAGAAAGAAAGAAAGAAAGAAAGAAAGAAAGAAAGAAAGAAAGAAAGGAAAGAGAGAGAAGGGGGAAGGAAGGGAGGGAGAGAAAGTCTACCTGTCTGGAAAGTGACTCTGCTGCTATGCTTTCTGTCCTCTTCCCCTTACAAATGACAGCTTAGCTCACTGCCACTGATCAAGAGGCAGTGTTTCTGTTCCCTTTCTTCCTTGTGATTTCCTCTGATGCAGACACCTTCGGGGCCGTCTTTATAACACTTCCTCCGGGTCACACTCAGGAGTCTGGGCCGAGTGAGACAGTTTGCTGCCCCGGCGGCTATCAGTCCAGGTTGCCGCCTGAGTGCCAGGTCCTCCCACACAGCCGCTTCAAGCTCTCTAAGTGCTTCAGAGCAGATATCCCAGCCGCCTCTGTCCCCACTCCACTGCCTTCCCGCGAGCCAGTCCCCTCCTGCTGATAAGATGCTCTGTTTTAACTGGCTGGGGAACAGAGGAAGGAAAGTGACAGCTCTTGCAAATGGCTTTAAAAAATAGAGAAGTGGATGGAGACAGCGTAAGAGCTTGATTTTCTTCTACTTAGGTTTTGCAGCTTCTCTCGCAGAAGCCGAGCCCGAGATCACCTTTAGGAGCAGCTCTGATCTGCACTTCTCCCTCGTTTTGTTCCCCCGCCTGCGCCTTACTCATCTCTCCGTGGCTTTCAAAAGAAGCGTTCGTAGAAACTTGAGAACCCTACTTTCTCAAGGCCGGCGGTACATCCAGCAGGGCCCAGATGAACCAAGGATCTACTGCGAAGGCCTCTCTGACCTGCCTCCTTGGTTCACCATTGAGACCGATTAGTGGCTGTCCCCCCCGCCATGTGGTCCCACCTCAGCTTCCTGGGCGCCCCAGCACCACGAGTGAGCCCGAGGTCTGGGAAGCGCGCACCCCACCCTGCGCAGTCCGCCATCCCGCCACCCCCACCTTCCCCTTTCAGAAGGATTTCTAGCTTGCACAAGTTTCAAGAAGAGCCCGGGGAACTCCAGCCTTCCTTCCATCTGGATTCGACATTCGTTTCCTTTGGCCCCACTCTCGGGCCCCTGTGCCCTGCCAGAAGGCCCCGCACTCCGGGCCACGTAGGAGCTCTGCTGCCCTCCTCTGCGGGCTCTGCACTTCCAGGGATGGAAACCTGGCGTTGGCGCTGAAGAATATTAAACCACAAGCGTCCTCCAGAGGTCGTGACCCCTGACTGCAGGGATCACTTGAGACCTTGGACACCTGTGCTACTGACCTTTCCGCTCCTAGCAGTGGCAAGAAATGAGTCTATCAACTTGCTCCAGGCTGGACCTGAGCCGAAAGCACATCCCCATGACAGAGCAGAGCTCTTGGGTCCTGGGTGGGGGGGCCACCTGGCAGGGACCCTGAGCTGGGGGCTGTGGTTTGGGAAAGCTAAAATGGAAAAGACAGAAAAGGGGAGAGGAAGAAGGAAGAGAGGGGCGAGGGACAGAGAGAGAGAGAGGAAGGAGAGGGAGGGCAGAGAGGGGAAGGGAGGGAGGAAAGACAGGAGGGAGAAGAAGACAGGGGAGAGGAAGTACTCGATGAGCTCCGGACGTCTCAGCTAATGCCCAGTATTCAATGTGGGCACCAAGTCTGTATGTCCATGGCTATCCTTTTCTGCAGCCTGGTCATCTCCCATCAACAAACGACACCTTTTCAAGCTTCCACGCACCCTGCAGGCATTTGCTTGTGTGGTTAGAAGTGAAATTTAGGAAGCCCATATAAGCACAATGAGGAAACGCCCCCATTTTATATTTGTTCATTCTGAATCCACAAAGTCAGGGAAAATAAAAGGGAGGGGTGGGGAGAAGACAGAAGCAAATTAAAGGAAACTCCGAAGCGAGATACACCACAGCTTCTACAGAGAGCCTGTGAGCTGCTCATTCCTGCAGCAACTATTATGTCCCTGCTGTGTCCTGATAGTCTACATGGCAGTAGGTTATGGCAGTAAGTAAAGCATTCAGGATTTATTTTCCCAGGGAATTTACGTGCCAGTGGGGGAGAGAAATAATAAATAGATAAATAGACACATATGAATTTTAAAAAAATAAGTTATGGTGGGCGTAGTGGCACACACCTATACAACCCTAGGACTCAGGAGCCTGAGGCAGGAGGACCTCAAGTTAGAGGCAACCTGGGCTACGTCATGAGACCCTGTCTCGAGAAATAGTGTTCTGTAGAAGACACATAGCGGGGACTAGAGCAGAGACAGCACACCAGGATGGGCCAGGACGGCTGACCCAGGGAAGAGACCCTGAGGAGGTGGCCTTTAAGAAGCTGTTTCTTCTTCCAGACAGAAGAAACAGCACGTGCGAACACACCCATGCCTTTTCGTACCAGTGGCCACAGGCGCGGCTGCTGCAGTGCCTTCCCAGAGGGAGGCAGCATACTATTTTTATGTCTGAGTGGTATGGTCCCTGACGTTCAAGACTATTTATATTGTGGCTTTGCATCTTGCCTAACTGACCTAGTTACCTCATACGTAATTTAGCAATGCTTCCCTTTGAGCAGACTCCGTCCCCCACGCCCAGCACTCATCCGTGCCTCTGGTGATCTTGTCTGCTCTTCTCGCACCTGCAGCATTCTCTTCCCTGCTTTTTCCTTTACAGCGTAAAGCTCCATCTCCTCCAGTGAAAATGTTTCTTCAGCTGGAGCTGGTCAGGAGCTCGGCTGCAGTGATTGGACAGGTATTGCTACAGAGGTGATGGAATTGTACAGCGCGGAACACGCACGTCTGTGAGTGATCACTAGCCAAACTGGGGGAGCCTGAATAGGCCCGTGGACTGTAATAACATCGACACCCTGACTTTACCATTTTACTATAGTTTTACAAAATACGATCATCAGGGGAAGGTGGACACGGTACTTGGGGTGTTTATTATTTCTTACAACTACATGTGAATCTATGATTACATTAAGTTTTTAAAACATTGAATAACCAAAATACTATATTTTTGGAGACAATGAAATTTAATATTCTTCATTAATTTCAAAAAATATTTTTCCACTTATGATGAATCCACCTGTCTATATATTTCCAACATGTTCATTGTGCTGAGCAGAACGCATTGTTTAAATAAAGACATAATGGTCTTTTACCTTTTCAGAAAAGGGAGGTTGGCTTAGAATGATTTCTTCTCCAAGAAAAACTGCTGGTACGGCAATGGCTCCTTGTTTCCGTTTGTAGATTTCCCCGGAGGATCTCTGCCCAGGACTCTGGTTTGCAGAACCAACTTCTCCCCCTTTTCACAGAGAGGCACAGTGCGTCCCCATCTGCAGTGTCCCGGCGTCTCTCCCTGGCTCCACAGTCCCTGGGAAGCTGCCAATGGTCTTCTCATGTATAGCTTCCATTGAGACCCCACTCGGAGTTTGTCCAAGCTTGGAGACATAAGCGCATTCAAAGCCAGCATTCCCTTACAATACCCCACAGATTCTAGGCCTCGGTGTCCTCCACTGATATTTGGATGAAAAACATTGAAGTTCACAGGGTTTGCAGCAGGGAAGCTGGTGTTTGGAAGTAGAAGCCAAGAAATACTGCGTGCAAATCCAGATTCCGTCATTCTCCTGAGCTCTGATCTAGGGTATTCATTTCTTTGAACTTCTAGATGTGGGGTTATTCGTTTCTAGGGGCTCAATTATTCATTTTTTTGAACTTCAGTTTGTTCATCTGTAAAATGGGAAAATATCAGCTGCTGTTGTTGTTGGTTGTCAGGTTATAGCGAAGATTAAGTAATATCAGCAAGAGTGCTGGCACAAATCAACAGTTCACAAGGCAGATGAGACGGGCAGATTTGCTCCCTCACAGACAGAGCGGCACTCACGGAGCAGCGTGCGTCAGCACGAGCCAGGCCCTCCCTCCCTGGTCACCGTCACAAGCTCCGCTCCTGAGCAGCATCACGCCTGTCTCTTCCTTGCTCCACCCAAGGCCTTTTCTCTGTCAGCTACTTTAAGTCATTAATTCTTAGAATTAGAATCAGAGCTGAGAAAACACACACAAGAGATTTTAAATAACTTATCCAAGCCTACGTGGTTAGTAAACGGGAATTCAGTCAGATCTATCTTCATCTGAAGCCCCTGATCTCATCTGCAATACCACCCCACCCTTTCAGAGAGGCTCTTCTGGAAAGCTGTGTCCTGATTTAGTTATATCCTTTCGCCATGGCCTGAATGGTACCTGCCGAAAACTCCTACGTTGACGTCTTCACTCCCCGTGTGGTGGTGTTTGGAGGGGAGGCCTTTGGGAGGTTCTTTAGGGTTAGCCAAGACTGGGAGGACTGGAACCTCGCAAGAGGGTTTCTGTCCTTATAAGAAGAGATACAGAGAGCTTGCTCTGCTGAACGCTGGCACACGAGTGAGGGACGTGTGAGCCCACAGCAAGATGGTGACCACCCAGAAGCCGCGAAAGAGGCCTCAGAACGAAACCTACCTTGCTAGGACCTTGAGCTTAGGCTTTTCAGCCCCAGCACTGTAAGAAATACATTCTTGCTGTTCGAGCCACCCCGTCCACGTATTTTCTTATGGCAGCCTGGGCAGACAGAGCTTTATGGTGTCTACACTCCTCCCTTCTCTGCACGGCACTTTTCAAATTGGAGTTGATTCATGAATTTGCCTGTCAGCCGGATCTCTCTCCAGGGCTCTGTCTGCTGCCTTCCCTTGTGTGCATGGGGCAGAGTTTGGTTTCCAACAGCACTTTTATCTCCTGGAGACATCCTCCTGTTTAGTGCCAGGCACCACATAAGCAGACCTGAGTATTTTTCCTGAATGACTTGACACTGGTCTTTGCACTAGCTGACTCTGACCATCCTGAGTACTCTGAACTTTAAAAAAAGGGAGGGATACTTTTTAACCGAGTCTCCTGGTGCTTTTAACTGACTTACTAGTTTCTACTTTGAGAAACTTTGAGTCCAATTTAGGCTTAGACCAGCTGTGGCCTCTTACTCCCTGTTCTCTAGGATCAGCAGCTGAGGCCAGGCAAAGCAGGAGCTCCTGAGTAGAGTATGTGAGCCTTCCTGTTCCTGATACCTCCCTTCCAGGAATTCCTCTGACAGTTTTTGTTTATTCTACAGTTTAGCCTTCAATTCAGAGGGCATTATACCCATATAGGCAAAGTGCTCAGGACCTACAGTTCTTCCTAGGATCTACAAAAATATTTGAGACCCAGAAGACAACAGATTTTTTTAAAAAATCTTGTAAAATGAGCATAGTATCACATGCCTAAATTCCAGCATGCAGAGACTAAGGCAGGAGGATCACAAATTGTAGGCCAACGTGGGCTACATAGTAAGACCTTGTCTTAAAAACAAAATATCGCTTGCAAAATCAAAATTAATATGAGTATCTTTAAAAGTCCAAGAATTTATCGTTATGAAAATTAAATAACTATAGCCTGGCAGTCAAGGTGGTATACACCCATAAGCCCAGCACCTTGCAAGCTGAGGCAGGAGGATTGCTTCAAGTTGGAGGGAGGCCAGCCTCGGCTACATAGCGAGCTCAAGGCCAGCCTTAACTACATAGTGTGATTCTGTCTCCAAAAAACTGAAAAAAAAAAAAAAAAACAAAAAAAACAAGTCATAGGTGTAATATAAATGATTGATGTAAACTGTGAGTTCAATGAAATATATTTTCACAGCATAAGAAGATTAACACCTCTGAAAGTAAGACTGGGAGCTGCTCCAGTCTTCAGGCTGCTCTGCTTGGCTACGCCTGACTGCATAGTGGATCTAGTTTGTCCTGGATGCTTGCTGTCCCCCTAACATGAATCAGCAGGTAGTTCAGTCCTTCAGTGTACTCTGTACCTCCCTGTGTTAAGTGCTGTCCTTAGTACAGGCTGAATGTCAGGGACGACACACAAAAGAGAAAATGGAGTCTTCGGCTGGAGGAGCTCAAGCTAATGAGGAGAGGCTTCATCGTTCCTCAACTTTCCGGCCTCCCGTGCTCTCTTTCGGTTGCTCAGATCCACTCAGCTCTGTCCTTCCTCCCTCGGGGTCTTGGGAAGTGCTGTTCTGTGGAATACTTGTCTTGCCATCCTTTGCTCGGCTTTCTAACTCCTGCGGGCTTCAGGCGTCTGTAGATACCCTCCCTTAGAAAATGTCACCTCCCTCGCCTCCTCCCTCCGCCCCGTGTACCCCGGGTACAGCCTGTGATTCTTTCATCCCTTGGGCTCTTGTTTCTGTTTCTGCCTTTGCAGCTTTTAGCACGTGGAGCTAACCTGCGTCAGTGTGTTCGTCTGTTTATTTACAGCTTATCTGGCCTCCTAGAGGGAGGAACGAGCGTAGAAACCAGGTCTACAGTATTTGGTTCACTGCTGTGTATCCAGCAGCAGTCCCACCATTTGGCAGGCAGTAGCTAAGCATGTATTTAATAAATGAGAAAGGAAAGGCACTCTCTGACAGCAGTCAAACAGCAATGGGAAAGTGCCTAGAATCAAAGGGAATCAGAAAGCAGATGTGGGCAGTGGGGAAGGAATTGCAGGGTGGACAGTGAGTTGGACAGAGAGCAGAGACAGGGGTCAGGGAGGCCAGCGAGCAGAAGTTGCAGTCAGCCACAGCAGACGCCAAGGGCTCTTCGAAGGCAAGGATCCTAATTCTCATTCGTTTATATCCATCACGACATCGTATTAGATTCCAAGTACATTGAACCATAGCTGACACAGGTAAGAAAGCAGATCATCACATGCACACATCGGATGATATTTAACTGGAAAAATGTGAAAACACAAGCACACATTTTCTGTGAAATTTCAGAGCCATTTGAACCACAGGTTGATTCCTTTGCTGGCCTGTCATCAAGTATCTGAGATGACGAGCCTGTGCATCTATATTTCCTCTCGCTAAATCCAGGTAACAGTTCTTCAGTCTCCATTGCTGTTTCTTGCCCAGATTCTGCCGCCGTCTTTCTCCCGTGCCTGGCACAGTGCCATCTGCCTCCAGAGCAATAGTCTCGGGTTGGGGAGGCTCTGGAAGCACTGCGTTTACTTCTGTCCTCTGACTGGGTGTCTCCGTAATTATCTTTATCTTTTCTAGTTCTCTTAAAGTTCCTCTTTGACTTAGGGACTTGATGAAGTGGGAAAATGCTTATTTCATCTGAAGCACAAAGCTTGTACCAAAAAGATCTTGAATTGAAGGAGAATCCAAAGCATAAACGGCTATAATTGGTGAAAATGACAGTGTTGTTCATCCTGTGTGTGGATGAGGGTGAGGATGAGGGTGAGGATGTGGGTGTGGTGCTAGGGATCAAACCCAGGGTCTTATGCTGTGTTTTTGTGTTTTTGTTTTTTGTTTAAGATGACGCCTTGCTACATTGTCCAGGATGGCTTCAAACCCTCCTTCTCCTGCCTCAGCTTCCCACATAGCTGGGAGTACAGTCCTGCACCCAGCTCTGTATTTATATTTTCTGATGTGGAAGAGGCCCTCATGGCAGTGACCCCCACGTCCACTTTCCTCTGGGTCCGTAGGGTAGAACCCTCAGTGGCCCTCTGGCCTCTGGAACAAAAGCTGCCTTTTCTGCTTTCTCTTCTTGCTCATTGTGGACAGATGTCTAAGTCTTTTATGTGACTATGCCAAGATACTTAAACAAGAACACCCTATATTTTATATCATCTTCCTACTTAGGAGTTCAAAGCTATTTATAATTTTTCAGAAATAACACCTGCTCGGGCTGGGGATTTAGCTCAGCGGCAAAAGCGCCTGCCTGGCAAGTGCAAGGTCGTGGGTTCGGTTCCCGGTACCGGAGAAAAACCAAAAAAAAAAAAAAAAATAACACCTGGTCTACTAAGCAAAATTTCAATATCCATAGTACTCTATAATATTACAAGGTATTATAATATGCAAAATATTTTACAGTAATTAAATCACTATTGAACACAGTCAAGGGCATTGTTTTTACTTATTTTAATATCTGGAAATTCCTTTGTAAGAAAATAAGAATAATTAAGATGAATACAAGTGGTCTAAATTCATTTTTATATGCTCAGTAATTTCTTGTGAATTATTTGCAAGAAAAATATTTATTTTTTTTAACACTTATTTGTGAAGTGGGAAAGATTTAACACTTATTTAACATTTTAGCCAGGCGTGGTGGTGCATGCCTGTAATCCCAACACTCAGGAGGCTGAGGCAGGAGGATTACTGCAAGTTCAAGACCAGTCTGGGCTACAAAGTGAGCTCAAGGCCAGCCTGAACTGTATATCGAGGCCCTGTCTCAAAAAGACTGGGGAAAAAAACATTTTAATATCCAAT